AGATAGTCGAGAGCGGTGAGTATCTGCTCGGTCACAGAGTTGGCGAGTATTCTCCTCTCCTGCTTGCTCTCGACCGATTTTGTGAGAGAGGCCAAAGAACCTTCGCGCAGCGGCGTCCGGATCTCTGGGGCGTTTGTCTCGAAAGCGCCACAGCCAAGGTATTCGATGATATGAGGCTAGATTTATGGTTAATGCTATAGATGCGACGAAGAACAACCGCATCGATCAACGGGAGGAAACTAACGTGGTTAAGTCTTTCAAGATTCTTAACCTCTCGGTGCAGCGCCGCCCGTGCAGTTTGGATTTGCAGGGGGTCGCCTTCCAACTTCACCACTTTGATAGCGAATAAATTGCCGGTTTTCTTGTCAACGGCTTTGTAGACAGTACCAAAGGCTCCACTGTCATCACCACCTAGGCGCTCGCGGGCCTCCTTTACCTCCTCGAAAAGTTGGCATTTGGCTGTGTTCAATCTGGTTACGTGCCACGACTGCGCTTCGGTATGGTCGTAATCCGACGGCCGGTCTCGAGATCCGAAGGCGGCCATGCGCTGCAAGCAACTGTTGTAACCCTGTAGAGCAAGGTCCTTGAAAAGAGCGATGTTCTGTCCGAGGGTGGAAGAGAGTGTTCGCCAGACGAGCTTGAATTCGTAGGAAGCGATGGAAACCGTGTGATCTCTGCTATAAACGATAACCCCGTCTCCAAGCGTGGGCACAGGCATGGTATTTTCAGGCGTTCCAGGGTCTCCCGGGGGGCTCACCAAACCGAACGTCACCGAGGTCAAGGCTTTGGACCGGACAGATAGCAAAATGAAATGTGTTGTCGGGTGGAACTCGAAAGCGACGTAAACGCGGGACATAACCTTTTGGGGAGTACTGTGACGGAGAATTAGGTCCGCATTCCGGCCGAGCCTGGTGATGACTCGGCTATCAGGTTTTATCGGAACATGGAAGCCAATCTCTAAACCAGGCTGGCCATCATTAGTCTCCGAAACGAATTTTTTGTTGTCATCGTGGTCAAGAGCCTCCCAGGCAACCTGGTTGGTAAGCACAAAATGGAAAAGCGTTTGTGGATGGACACTTCGAAGCATCGTAGCTTTAAAGAAGTTCGCATGGTAGCGGAGGAAGAGTGGATGGAAGCGAAAAACCTAAAAGAAAGGAAAGGGCAGGGAGAGAAAAAAGCAGGCAGGAAGGGAAGAGTTTAGGGACCGGGGGCAGGCCTGGGAAGCCCACACCCACAAACGCCGCTCGCAGCGCAAGGGTGCCAACCCACTAAGCGTTAACAACCCCTGTATTTTTGTTAGCGCGGAACCGTTGTGTGAAGCCGAATTGGAAAAACAACATACTTCTCATTGGGTTCCGCGCTAACAAAAATACAGGGGCTATCCCCTCAAGTGCTGTTGTCCTACCGACCGCTTTGTCAGCAAAAATACGCCAATAGAAACGTACAAATAAAGGGCGTCCTGCAGGTTAATTACCTATTTGGGAGGCTGGTAGGACTGAGGGGATATTTGTGTCAGCACTAGTCACGTGTATTCGTGCACGAACCACTCGGCTCAAATTGCAACTGCAATCGCGGCGTCCATTTGCCAAACCACAACCACCAGCGCCGGCTGCAACGAAAGCGCCATCAGCGCAGCGTCGACTGACGACCTCCGCCGCCAATATGAGTTATGGCATAAACAATATCCGCGATTTCCTCATTAACGCCAATCCTGCCCTCATGGCTCTGGCCAACAACGAGCACCTGCGCAACCACGCGCTTAGGCGCTTCGATCGCGACCCTCCCCCTTACGAATCCTCGACCGAGTCGGAAGAGGCAGACCAAGAAGCCACTGTTCCGCGTCCGCACGATCGCGATCCGGATCCCGTGGATCTGCCACGGAGCGTGCTTAACATTATGGAAGGTCCTTTGGACGACGACGAAATAGCTAAAACAGCGCGTCGGGTGAAGGATTTGCTGGAACCTCGCCTCAACTACTTGAGCGATTCGAAAATAGAGTTCCGTCGGCAATTACGGGCGAACCCCGGAAGGGGAAACAGCCTGAGGATGCTGCGGCGAACCGGCGTTAAGGCCCGTCACTTGGTCAAAAGCCGCTAGCAGAAACTTGGTATATGGAACCCGGAATGGGGTTTCCCCGGGCGCAACCTCAAGCCCAGCGACATGGTCGAAAACTGGAGGTGGAAGTGGGAGCATCGAGACGACGATGATGATACCATCACAAAGCAAAGGCAAAATGCCATTCTCCGCGCCCTTCGCCTACGCCAAAACCTACGTCGCGGGGATTGGGTTCCACCTCTCCCGCGCAGTCACCTCGGGCCCGATGCGTCCGCTGCCGAAGCCGACTCTTTCCTCATATCCAGGCCCTGGTTCATCTTTCGTCTTGAGCTTCAGGAAGAATACACGAAATTGCACCGTATCCCCAAGCCAGATCCCAGATACTGGGAAACGATCAAATGGGAGCATAAGCAGCGCTGGGAACAGTACGAAAAGTACCGTTGTGTTGTGGGCGAGGCGCCCTGCCATTGGAAGTGGCGGCACGAGTCTCGTTCCCCAGAGCCCGAGCACCTGCTACCCATCGTGCCGATGGGCTTGCCGCCGCCGAGCCCGGCTATCTCGTACACCTCTTCCGAAAACGACGAGTTAGATACTATCGATCTCTCCACAACCGAGCAACCCGACGGGTATTGGACCCAAAAGGGTTCCATGGGTATGGTTGGGCAGTGCCAGAACCCTGCGGAGTTTTCAGGGGCACCCTCTCCCACCCCACCCCCCCGGTCCCCCCGCACACGACTTGAGCAGCTTGGGCCAATGCCGCCCTGCGATGACGGGTTCGGTTCCCTTGCGGATTGGTGGAAGGAGAAGCAAGAAATAGACGATGCCCTCCGAGCACCGCAGGCAGGCCGGGCGGAGCGAGTCGAGCAAAAGCCTATGCTGGAGGATCCGGAAGCCATGCCACACCAAAAAGATCTCATCGAGGGCCTACAACGCACCGACCAAAGAGACAAGAATGGCGCCGGCGATTGTGTGGGTGCCCCCTTTGCCGCCCCGGGCCGTCGGCTTCGATTGAGGCCGCGGGACCGCAGCCATCGCGCGGCGATGACCCCGCCGCCAGATGCCCCCCAACCGCCCGCGCCCCGCCGTAGCGAGAGGATTAAAAGCTTGAAGCGCCAGGCCGTGCCACTCTCATCTCAAGACGCCCCGCCGAACAAGCGGATACGTTTCGTCCGAGAAGTCGCGGAGCCTCCTACGGTTCAGACCGGTACTAAGACGACAAGGCCAAAGTCAGGCTCCAGCTGTACACTACCGAAAAAGGACGAGGACGCCGCCGAGACGGGACGGGGCCGTGGCCGCCCGAAAAAGGAAACTATGGCGAATGAGTTCCCTAGCAAGGAGGGGGAGGCTGACGCCACGCTCAAGCGAGGCCCCAAAAAGTCTGCAGGAAAGAAAGGGGTGCCCGCCAACACCACCCCCAAACGTGGCCGGGGTCATCCGAAAAAAGAGCCCGACATAGCCAAGATACCTGTCCCGCTACCGAAAATCGGAAAGGCTGCCCAGGCCATTAGTGGGCCCTCCAAACGGGGACGCGGGCATCTAAAGGAGCCAAGCACGGACAAGTCGACCAGT